CATCACCTAGCTTCCACAATTATCACTACATGGCCTATCTTGTTTCATCTATACCCTACACCTATTTTTTCTTCCTATATTCTCTACCACTTGATATTTTTTAGAGCTAATACCAGATATTATATCATTTCATTTGCAAGTATTTTGTTACGCATCTCTAAAAGATAAGAACAAAACAAAAATACAAGCTATCAAGCCTAAAAAAAATTAATTGCTTAACATCATCAAATATCCCATCAGTATCTACATTTTCCTAATTGTTTTTTTTTTTTTTTTCTGGATGTGATGGTTGTTTTTGTTTTATAGTTTGTCTAAATCAGGGCTTCCACACAATGAGATTAGTTGATGTATCTCTTAAATCTTTTTTAATCTTTAGGTTCTCTCTCACATGTGCTCTTGGTGTCTCTTTCTCTCCCTTTCTCTGCAATTTTTTGATGAAGAAACTGAATCATTTATTCTTTAGACTTTCCCACTCTCTGGGTTTTGCTAACTGCATTTCCTTGTTATTTAACGTGTTCCTCTGTCCCTTGGCATTTCCTAAAACTTGGTAGTAAGGTGTAGAGGCTTGATCAAATTGTTTGGGTTTTTATTTTCTTCTTGTTTCTTTTTTTAATAAGATTATTCCATAGGTGATATTCTGTGCAACCATCAGTAAATAAGTCTGATTGTTTCTCTTTTTGTGATATTATCAAATATGTGATCATTGCCTCAATCCGTTAATTTTTTAGGGGAGACAAAATAATGATCTGGCATTCCTTCTTTTTTATTAGCCAGAGTACTTCTACAAAAAGAAACTTTCTTGTTTGTTTGTTTACCTTGAGGTACAATATATGTACTGTGTGTGTGTGTGTGTGTATTTAGGAAAGGCAGTATAACTGTTTGATTCTTTTACTCTAATTACCAGTTTTCAAAATAAGTTGGTTCTTAGCATCTACTGAAGATGACCAATGAAAATATTCTTTTCACTTTGAACTGGTGTATTTAAATGGATTATGTTTTGGTCCGGCCCCGTGGCTCACTCTGGAGAGTGCGGTGCTGGTAGCGCCAAGGCCACGGGTTTGGATCCTATATAGGGATGGCCTGTGTGCTCACTGGCTGAGCGTGGTGCAGACAACACCATGCTGAGGGTTGCTATCCCCTTACCGATTAGAAAAATAAATAAATAAATGGATTATGTTTTGGTCCGGCCCCGTGGCTCACTCTGGAGAGTGCGGTGCTGGTAGCGCCAAGGCCACGGGTTTGGATCCTATATAGGGATGGCCTGTGTGCTCACTGGCTGAGCGTGGTGCAGACAACACCATGCTGAGGGTTGCTATCCCCTTACCAATTAGAAAAATAAATAAATAAATGGATTATGTTTCAATCCATTGTAGTTATTATCCTTATTGATTCTCAAATTGTTTTATCTTTGGCCAGTGGGAGCCTATTCAAGTTAGCACCTGAGTCCCTTTGACAGGGGCCTAATTAATTAACAGTCTTTGATAGCTTCTTGCTTTCTAGTATAACAGTTTGCTCCAGGTTCATCCTGTACACTTCCTGCTCTGGACCTGGAATAATTCATTTTTCCAAGGTGCCCTAGATTCTTTTAGCAGGAAATAAAATACCACATTTTGGTACTAGTATAATCTCATATACTGGTTGGCGGCTGGTACACCACCACATGCCTAACACCTCTATTACAAGTTTTCTGCTGTCTCCCTGCTTGATATTAACAAAACAAAACAAATTATTCCAAAACATCGAAAAGTTATCAAATTAGTAGGTTTGTTTAAAGGTGAAGGATAAGGAGGAAATATTTAGAATTGGCTTATAATGGTCTCTTTACTACATTCCAATTCTACAGAGTCAGAGAGGGCTTTGAGAGAAGATGGAAAAATGTGCACAAAAATATGCTTGAGACTTGATGTGACACCGTTGGCTTTTTTTATTATTATTATTTAAGATTGTAAATTACAAAGGGGAAGAATCTGGCAGATACCATGTTAGCCAAGTGATCAAAGTTAACATCACCAGTAATAGGACAAATGGACATCATTTGTCTCCTGATATGATACTCTGAGGACAGATCATTAATATAGTATTCTTCCCTGAAATGCATTACCCGAATCATGAGGAAACAGTGAGACAAACCCAAACTGAGGAATATTTCTATAAAACATTGAACCTGTACTCTTCAAAAATGTCAATGTCATGAAAGACAAAGGGTGAGGGAACTATTCCAGATTAAGAGACTAAACCGATATGACAGCCACATAAATACAAGGTATGATCCTGAAGTTAGGGCATAATATTGTCTTTGCTATCAAAGACAATATTAGGATAATTGGCAAATTTGAATATGGACTATATATTGAATAATGGGTTATTGATATTAAATCTCCTGATTTTGAAAAATAAACTGTGGTTATATAAGAGTATGTCCTTGTACTTGGGAAAAACACACTGAAATATTCATTGCTGAAAAGTCATGATCTTTGAGACTAATTTCAAATGGTTCAGTAAAAATAAAAATGTATTATTCCATTTCTGTTGCTTATAACAGAATGCCTGAAACTGGGTAATTTGTAAGAAACAATATTTATTGCTTACAGTTTCAGGGGCTGGGAAGTGCAAAGTCTAGGAAACATCTGGTGAAGGCCTTGTTCTTGGTGGTGACTCTACAATGACACAGGTTATCACATGGCAAATGGGCTGAGCAAGAGAGCTCACCTTACTTGCTGTCCTTTTATAGCTATCAGAACCATGCCCATTACTCCATGAATGGATCAATCCATTCATGAGGGCACAGTTCTCACGATCCAATCACCTCTTCAAGGCCCCACCTTTCAATTACCATAATAGGATTTTCCACCCTCTTAATACTGTCACAGTGGGGATTAAGTTTCTAATACATTAAGCTTTGGGAGACACAATGCAATCTGTAGCATATATGATAATGTATTTTATATATTGCATGTGTATATATATATATAGAGAGAGAGAGAAAAAAGTATATGTGCTTATTAAAAGTTAGCAATAAATGAACCTAGGTAAAGGATATGTATGGGATTTCATTGCAGTATTGCAACTTTTCTGTAGATTTTAAGATTTCTTAATAAATAATTTAAAACATCAAATAATTCATTCTCATATTTAATTTATTTTTCTGTAGCTTAGTTTTAGTTTTGAACTTCAATTTTATTTCATATAGCAATTTATTTTAATAAGATATTTAATGTTTATAAATGCATTGTTTTACTAGACTTTGTATATGATGTTTATACATTTTTAGATATGAAGTGCTTTATATGTCTCATCCCACAGTTTATGAATTCTTAACTCTTAAAAAATAAGATAACACCATTATATAAATAATTATCATAATGCCAATAATATTATTTGGCTTCTATGTTTCAGTCACTAGTGGCAATAAGAACTCTTGAAATACACAAGTTCTACTTCAGGGAATTGCTAAAAGAGTAGAAATCAATAAGATCTACCTTGTAAGCATGCGGTTAATTGTTTAAAAATTACACTTCTACCTCAACCTCCTTGTTCCTCCCTACTCTTCTAACAACCACCTCACAAATGTTTCAGTGACTAAGAGGTTAATGAAAAGTGTTTGTTGTTGCTCTGTAGAAGTGTTTTTTGTTTCTGAGATTTTAGACGTGTAAAAACTCAAGTCTTCTGTGGTAGGTGGAGCTTCTGTGGAAAGCCTTAGCCAGATTTAGTAGATGGTGTACATAGAGTAGAGCTCTGGAACTCTAGAACTTTTATCTCAATGGTACGTGTAGATTATATCTAGTGGTTAAAGGGGGTCAAGGACTATGTCGTTGACTCCTTTTGTATATGTTAGCAGCTGGTATTATGGATGACTGCCATTTATAAAACCAGTTAGAATTCTAGGCACACTGATGGTGTACATTCATTCCTCTAATAAAAAAAAAAATCAGTTATATCAAAACTGTGCTTTTATCCAAGATGTTCAGAAGTAGAACATCTAGGTAAGTGTTGAAACATTGATAGCTCTTATTCTCCCTGTTTCCTGGAAGTTGTCTTACCACAGTTTGACTGGATTTGTCTCATTAATATCATCAATAAGCTGGTGTTTGGGCCGGCCTGTGGCTCACTCGGGAGACTGTGGTGCTAATAACACCAAGGCCACAGGTTTGGATCCCGTATAGGGATGACCGGTTTGCTCACTGGGTTAGTGTGGTGCTGACAACACCAAGTCAAGGGTTGAGATCTCCTTACTGGTCATCTTTTAAAAAAAAAAAAATTCGCTGGTGTTTGTTCTTTCAAAAAAAATCTGTTAGCAGTGAGTTGGAGGGGATGACCGGTTTGCTCACTGGGTTAGTGTGGTGCTGACAACACCAAGTCAAGGGTTGAGATCTCCTTACTGGTCATCTTTAAAAAAAAAAAAAATTCGCTGGTGTTTGTTCTTTCAAAAAAAATCTGTTAGCAGTGAGTTGGAAACCAAAAATTTTCCACTTAACTTTGCTCATCATCAAATTATAAAATGCCTTGTTTGTAATAGTGAAAAATTGAAACTTTTATGCCTATTAATGGTAAAATGGTTAAATCAGTTATAGTATATCCATGTAGTTGTGTAGTGGTTAAACATACTAAGGTCCATATTTTCTGGTTTGGGAAGATTTCTAATACATATTATTAGGTGAAAACAACTTGCTAAAAAATACCTGTATTGTCCCTTTTTTAAAAAAGCAACTATATTTGTATTTTGTACAAAAATGTTAATACTTCAGGATACATTGTAAAGAAACCTAAACTATTTAATAATGCAGAGGTTGGGCAAGGGGGCTACAGGGAGGAGTGAACTTACACTTCTATTCTGTACATATTTTACATTTTTGTACTTTTAGCATTTGAAACATCAAGAATATATTAATGTATTATTATGTACTAATACAAATTAATATGGATTGCAGTTTAATTATGTAAACAGTACAGAGGAGCAGATGTAATCTAATCAGTGCAAATGGTGTAATTTCTTCTCATAGCTGATATGCATTCAGGATGGTTACCTTTCCCTGCTGACAGAAACTGGTGAAGTTCGTGAAGATCTTAAACTGCCAGAAGGTGAACTAGGCAAAGAAATAGAAGGAAAATACAATGCAGGTGAAGATGTACAGGTAAAGACCTATGGAAGATTTTTTTTAAAAAAACATTTAATAAAAATTTTGGACTTAAACTAGTTAGTATAAAATGCTATATATATGACATATAGTTTAAAAATACTGCTAAAATGTTAAAAAGGATTGCCATAAGGCAGTTTTTCCATGATACCCTTAGAGACCCATTTCCAAAGAAAGTATCAAAGTTCATTTTTTGCTAGATAGACACTGATCAATCCCAAATTTGCTTTGAAGACCTGCATCCAAGCTATTCGTAAGGATAAGGAAGGATGCTGAAGGAGTGCTAAAGAGTAAAGGAGACTCTGTCTGTGTTACAACTTTCAGAAGTAGAACATCTAGTTAAGTGTTGAAACATTGATAGCACTTAGTCTCCCTGTTTCCTGGAAGTTGTCTTACCACAGTTTGAGAAATTTTACTTTAGAAAACAGTAATGAAAGTAGATTATTTGTTCTGGAATAACCCTTTCCAAAGTCAACATGTACAAAATATCCACAAATGATAAACTAAATATATCTTCTATATGTGTTGCCTTTTGAATAACTTTTGCCTGTATTTTTTCCTTCTAGGTGTCTGTCATGTGTGCAATGAGTGAAGAGTATGCTGTAGCAATAAAGCCCTGCAAATAAATGGGAACATCAGGCATGAGCAAACTGTTAAGGTCTGGATCACCTACAGATCTGAAGTTTGGTTCTAAGTTGGCACCAAAGCTATAGCCTTCATAAGCAACCTCATTTCTTTTTATAATTGTTTTGAAATTGTGCTGAGCTAGTTTTGCAGGCAATTAGTAATTTAAAAAAAATAATCAAGATGTAGAATCTTGATTTTTTTTTTTAATTTTGTAGGTGTCTTTCCTATAACATTCCTGTGGTTTTCAGTTTGTGGGTCCAAGAAACAGAATAGCTTCAGCAGATGTGAACTGTCTGAGCAAATCATTCCTGAATTTTAGTTAAATGATAAATAAACCAGGGTTTTAAATCAAACAATGTAGCATCTAGTGGTATTAATGTACCACATTTAATTGAAGTGCTCTGCATTAATTTCAGACTTAATATCATAGAATATGTAGTGTATGGATTGGAATTGTTATAGTTTCAGCCTGTGTGTGTCAAACACAAATCCTTAAAAATCATGTTATCAAAAAGTGTCAGTTATCTCGATGGCCACGTGCAACCACATGTGTTACCTCGGTCATACTATTATTTGCCAAATTTTTTCTTTACAGTCTGACTTGCTCATATTCATCCAGCCTTCTATAGTGGTTTTAGTACCTGCTTGTGGTCGACAGAGGGGCATTGAACTGTTGGATGAATATGAGCAAGTGAGATATAAAGAAAACACAGAGGACAATGGCAGAGGGGGTTGGTTAAAGCTACAGGTTTTTATCTGAGACCTTTGAAACCAATATAAAAATAGAAAGTTGCTTTTTTTTTTTCTTCCTTTTTTTGTCTTTTTACGTGTCCGGCAACGGATCGCAACCCTCAGTGTCGCGCCCGTACCGGACCGGGACCGGCAACGGGATCGCAACCCTCGGTGTTGCTCCCACACCTCGCTCAGCCAGTGAGCGGGAACCGGTCTGTATGTGGGATCCGAACCCTCGGCAGGAGCGCCACCGTGCTCCCAAGCGGCGCACTGTAGCAGTGCGCCACCGGGCCGGCCCAGAAAGTTGCTTTTTAATTGTGGTTTTGCTCTTAACTTTTATCCTCCACTTTCTGACTCCCCCAGCATTTAAGGGAGTGACTTGCTTTACAGGGTACTGTGTAGTGCTTTTTTTTTCTTCCAAATATGTTGAATAAATGTTGGTATTTATCAGTAACCACTCCATTCCAACCATTTTTAAGTAGATTTTATGACATTAAAATATTTGTTAGACAAAAACTGGGAATTCCTACTTTAAATTAATATGGAATATTTGCCCCCCCTCCCTTTTTTTGGTGGCCTGCTGGTATGGGGATCCAAACCCTTAACCTTGGTGTTACAAAGCTGTGCTCTAACTGAGCTAACCAACCAGCCCTTAATTTGGAATGTTTATTAAATTTATGTACATTTTTTTTTTAAAGTGAAATGAAAGTGAAACATGGAAGAAATATTACTTTATGTGAAAACTATTATTTAACTTATTTTAAGTATACGTATTTTTTCTCATTGTCATGTGACTTAATTCAGTTACTAGTGTGAAATATAACTAGAAAAGAATTCTATAAACTGAATTATTTTAAAAGGTGTTTTCGGTGACACCACTACATTTCTTTTTAATTTTTTGATCAAATGTATATTAGTTCCAGAATTTTAGACCTTGTTATAGGGTTTGTGAGGACCTTTGAGTCAGTAACAATCATTATATTGGAGTGAAACTTAGAACAAAGTCACTATCTCAGTAATACCTCTATTCTCTTAAGACTGGTTCTGAGACCTCTCCCATCATGCCTTGACCTCAAAAAGTCTTTTGTTCCTATCATCTGGAGGAAAATACAGTGAGCTCTCTGTTCCACGGGTTCCACATCCATAGATTTACCCAACCATGGATAAAAAAAAAACATTGCAAGGAACTCTCTAAATCACAAAGCATCTAAATTTCACAAACAAGCTTAGATAAAGTAAAATTGCATCTGTACTGAACATGTACAGACTTTTTTTCTTGTCATATTTCCTATACAATACAGTATAACAACTATTTACATAGCATTTACGTTGTATTAGGCATTATAAATAATCTAGAGATGATTTAAATTACTGTATATGGGAGGGTATATGCATAAATCATATGCAGATACTACTCCATTTTATATCAGGGACTTGGGCATCCATGGATTATGTTATTCATGGGAGATTCTGGAACCAATCCCCCACAGATACTGAGGGATGACTATGTATAAGATGATGTAACTGATTTAATCAGACTGGAAATACCATTAGAAACAGAAGAGCCCAAAGTTTTAGTTGTTTAATTTGTACACACTTTTAAATCTGTCTTGGCCTCAGAAAACCAATCTGGAGAAGAAACAAGCTACTTTAAGAGAAATGCAAGGAAGTGAATTCTAAAGCACAAGAAATCATGAGGTTGTAGTTAATTGTTTTTAGTGTAACATTTTAGCTTTTGCCCATCTAAAGCACAATTAGGAATTATGCTAAATTCTTTCCAGTATTCTATTTAATTATCTACTACATATTGCTCTAGTTTTTTAGTACCATTAGAAACAGAAGAGCCCAAAGTTTTAGTTGTTTAATTTGTACACACTTTTAAATCTGTCTTGGCCTCAGAAAACCAATCTGGAGAAGAAAAAAGCTACTTTAAGAGAAATGCAAGGAAGTAAATTCTAAAGCACAAGAAATCATGAGGTTGTAGTTAATTGTTTTTAGTGTAACATTTTAGCTTTTGCCCATCTAAAGCACAATTAGGAATTAGGCTAAATTCTTTCCAGTATTCTATTTAATTATCTACTACATATTGCTCTAGTTTTTTAGTACTCTGTAATGTGTATCTTACTTGCTCCTGGTTGGCACTGTTTCCCACAGGAATTCCAGAAAATTATTAATCTGTGCTGCCTGCTGGTCATTCATATGGCCCCAGTGAACCAGACTAGTGTTCTGATTTAGTGTTAGTTCTGGATTAGCATGCCCTTGCTCTTTCTATCATGTCAAACTTCACATAAATATATTTTCGGTTGCAATGTAAGGGTGTAAAAATTATAATAATGCATCTCTATCTTCATACCTTGAATGGCAAAAGCTGTTTATGCATAAATATTTCATTTTGAGCACTATATGAAGTGTAAATAATCCTCTAACATATAATTACAAGTATAGATTTTAAAGATATGAGACTGTTTATTTTCAGATAAGTCAATAGATGTTTCTTTAGAACAAAATATTCATTTAGTACAGCTTTATAAATTGTACTAAAAGGAAGCAGGGAACGTATATTTTTTAACATAGAACAGAAGTGACTTCGTTCTTTTTTGACATCAGAGAAATGACAAAAGTTGATTCCTAGTATTTGTTGTACTTTTTTGTAGCAAATGTTAAATCATAAGTTACTGTGTATATGATATAGATTGTCATATTGATAGATTATACAGTGATATGCCATTTTTGTCTGTACACATTTCACCAATTTTTAGACAGTATTATATTCACAGGTCAAATATTTGTTTCTTTCTATAACATATTTTATTTCTACTGTGAGGACTTTGTTATATGTTATTTGCTACAAAGTTGTATACACTCTGATATAGATAAAATCATTGCTACTCTTAGTATTGCATCATAAACGTAATTATGATGTTTCTTTCATGCTCCCCTCCAAGGGCTGTCAGTCACTTGAAGAAATTGTTACTAACTAAGCTCTTGACTCTGTTTCCCTTAATGGTACAAGCTTCTGTACCAATGCTTTATATTAATTACCAAAACTCTCCTGCAGCCAGAACATGATATTTTTTACAGGAGATGCTGCAATAAAATGTTTAGGCTATAAAATTTGGGGACACAGTTTTTCATTACAGCACAGTGTGAGTGTGTACATGTGCACACATGGCTTTGTATGTTTATTTTTTTCCCAAAGTCCTTCCAACTCTTAAAAGTACTGTAGTCTGGTAGTGCCTCAAATGTTGGTAACTTTTTTTTTTTTAATTTACAACTTTTCCAAAATTTGTTTTTGTACTTTAAGGTTTCTCAATTAGATTATTTCTAGTTGAGCTATAATTTGAATGCATTGTTCTCAGGGTTGTTTGTGCTGGAGCTGAAGTTTCATTATTTTAAAGCTAACTACCTGAAAGTACATTGTAAAATTTTCCCAAAGTATAATAACATGATACATACATACAAAAAAATCCTTACTATCAACACACTCTACATGCTAAGTATTCAAGAAAAAAAAGGAAACTGTAGTATCTACTGGAATCTTGCCATATTTTTTTTCATTTTAGAATAGAATTTGGTCATCTTATCTTAGAACCCTATCCTTAATGATGTATCTGAAAGCATTCCTTTGGCATGGACCCCAAAGACAGTTTTAGAGGTAGACATTGACGTGATGATTTTCAAACATATTTAGGGACAACAGATCAAAAATTAATAATGCTTTTTTGGGTACATTAAGATGTTTACATAGTGAATTCTGTAATATGAACTATGAACACCTTTACTATGAGAAAATATAGCTTTCAAGCAGTATAAGAGCAAAAATATGAGCATATTTCCATAAACAGTATATTGTTCTGATCAACAGTTTCAAATTTTGTAATATCATTTAGGCATAGTATTTCAGTTTTCAAACGTTTTTAATGCTAGGATTCAGACAAGTAATGAGCAACAAAGATTTAAGAAAAATTTATAGTGGAAAGCCTTAAAACTGAGAAAATCCAACCGATTAACTTTATTAAATTTTTTTTCTCTGAATTGGATATGTGCTGTCATTATTTGATTTTAGCAGGATTTAGTTTAGATTTAGTTTACAGAACACAGATGTTCTATGGGAACATAGCTTGAAGTCCCGATATAATTTAATGTTTTTCCATTAAATAAACATCTGAACACCAACTTAATTACTAATTGAGGTCAAGTGCCTGAAAAGTGCTGTATACATCTAATAAGCACGTTTCCTTATGTGAAGGTGCATCTTATAGCAATGCATACCAGGCTTTCACCTCCTAGAAACATACTTGTTGCCAAACTTTGCCATCCACCACAATTCCCCTCTGCTTAGGAAAGGTAGAAACTTATTTTACAATAAAAAGAGAGTTTTGTTTTGTTTTGTTTTGCTTTATATGAAGTCCCTAAAACTATTTCTTGGTATTGATAAGACTTAGGTGTATCGTAATTGAAGACTGCACTTTTTAAAAATTCTGGATACTAAACTACTCAGCAATGACTGAACAGCTTGTCATATGTCATAGCTGTGATCTTTCTTGAGAGGAATTCTTTACTGTGGTTAATATCTACAATAAATAAGCACTCTTGTGCTTGTTACAAAGTATAATGCAAG